AATCGCAAATGTAGAAACAAATGAGGCATGTCATATTTTATCACATCTTTCATTTTGTGCAAATATTGGCCTAGCCAACGCTGTTGGGTAGCAGATAGATGTACTTTAACTCTCCCCTCCAGAGTTTGGGGCAAGACACTTATCTCATCATGCTCCTCTCTGTGGAGGTAATAAATTCATGCAAGTTACCCACTGTGCACCTCAGTGTTCTCATTCCCAACAATGCAGGTACGAATAAAAAATATTGCACCAAAACCAGGTCTTAAAGTGAATTCTTTTTCACCTGGTTCAGACAATGTTTCCCATCACAGAATCTTTTGTTACCTATATTTGGGTGATTGCACTTTTTTGTTAGGTTGTTCTGTTGTAAACCTAATTTGGGACTTGAAGTTTACTCTTACCTGCTGTGACTTGTTTTGTCATGTTGCTAATCTCTTTTTTTCTCTGCCTTTAGGTCACCCGTCCTGTCTTAAGTTCTCTCCTGAACTCACAGTACGAGTTAAAGCCCTCCGCTGGCAGTGTATAGAGTGCAAAACCTGCAGTTCGTGCCGTGACCAGGGCAAGAATGCTGTAAGTGTTACATTTGGTAAAATCAGATAATCGGTTATAAGTCAAGCTTTTGTGTGACTGTGATGACTTCAGTTGGTATTCTCCTGGTTGCTGTAAAGAATTGAAGAAAGAAGCGTGAAATTCTAGCAAAACTTGGCAACTGTTTTTCCACCTGTAACATTAAATGGGTAACTCTTTATTGGTCCTTTATACTGCTATGTTCTGATACTATACCCTTCATTTCAGGACAATATGTTATTTTGTGATTCGTGTGACCGTGGGTTTCACATGGAGTGCTGCGAGCCACCCCTTACACGAATGCCAAAAGGTGAGATCTGTGTGACGTATTCTGTTCAATCCTTGTGTTGTCAGTTGCTCCATCATTACTGGCACAGTTAAGAATACTACTACAGACCGGTATAGATTTTTGTTAGTTATTTATCTTTATAATTTGCCTTATAAATAAAGGTGATGAAAGTATAGATGTGCATATTGGATGGTACACATTTGGTGTGACAATGATAAGTCAAGTTCAGTGTAAGTATGCAAGCCTAAATAACAGAGGTATACCGCTCAGGCAAACAATCCAGATCAATCCACAACAGGTGAAAGCTCTGGCTCGCCACCACACACAATAGGAAGAAGAGTCAGCCGCACACCGGAGGATAAATATATAAAGAATAGGTGAGCGCACAGTAAAATCACATCAAAAAGCTGCTAGCATAAAAGGATAGAACCCCTAAATCCTCTAATATAATTGGTATAGCAATATGCAGCACTAAAAATTTAAAGAGACTAACTAAAATCTGGTATCAAGATATATAGTGAATGGATGAATGACTATATCCAATGATAAATATGAAAATATAAAAATATTACACCGAAAATATTGCACTAACGATATATATATATTGCACTATAAATATACAATTTTAAACATACTATTATTATTATACAGTATTTATAAAGCGCCAATAGTTCACTCAGCGCTGTACATTACAAAGGGGGACAGAACATGTGACAGAACAATAACAATACAATGCAAAACATGAGGGGATCGAGGGCCCTGCTCTTTCGAGCTTACAATCTAGGAGACATATAAGAATATATCAAAGTGCTTAAAAGTGCCAGCAAAAAAGCAATCCAGTAATGTTGTAGCTGGATAAAAATGTGAACAGTGAGAAATACTGCACCAAAAGGTGAATGTAAATATAAATAAAGTAAAATAAATAAAGTTCATAAAATGTCACAAAAGTACTCAATAATCCGTAATCAAATATATTCGTGACTGGATGAGGATCAAATGATTTCAAACTTCAAACCCAATAGTGATACTGGTGACTGGGATAAGGAATGACTCCAGTGCTCGTGACTTCAGATGGTGAACAATAAATATGTGCTTGCTCTTACCAGAAGCGCAAGTCATATGTGCATGTAGTGATATTATCCAAACAGAACCCTGGTGGTCATCATGGATCTGGTCAAAGGCAGAAGGGGCTCCACTGGCACACTCATACAGGAGGGGAATCACTCCACACGTCCAACAGACCAGTCCAGCACAGGGGGTGGGGAAGGAACTTCTCCTTAATACCCAATACAGCCCAGCCATGGCACCAATAGATGTCAGTCTTCCTCCTTAAATATGGCTCAGTAAACCAAGCCACAAGACAGGAATATGTGAACTAAAGATAGCTGCGGGACCAACATGCGGCCTCGGCGGCGTGAGGTCAGCACGGCAAGGCTCCTCCCTGGCGCGTTTCGTGCGACAGCACGTTATCTGTTCCCCCATCTCCCTTGTGATAAATGAAGTCAGGAGCAACATGGATTTCATCATTCTGGTTTCAGAACTGCCTTTTCCTGGTTGTTACAGCCAGGGAAGTGGCTGATCACAGATCTGTGAGTCATCAGCTGCTCTTGTATTTAAAAATAAAAAAAAATAAAAAAAAATTCAAAGCATCCTCAGCCTCTTGAGCTCACGAGCAAATGCGTACATGGGTCTGGCACTCATACACAAACAGTAATTACACCACACGTGAGGTATTGCCACAAATGTCAGAGTGAGAAATATTTCTAGCTGCATAGCTCACGTTAAATTCTAAACTGCTAACCTGTAAAGGCTTTTAAAGTGTTGCCTTTTATGTATCATTGTTTGTCGCCATTTCACAGGCGCCATTTTAAATCTTGACATCTTTGGTATCTCTATTCTTAACACATCATGATCTTTTATATTTTGCTAAACGAATTGGGTATTAAATGAATTTTAGTGTACACAAGCACAGTATAAGTGTAATGTTTTTTACTCAATTTGTATTTGGTAAAAGGCTTCACAAATATCAGGTGAGATGAAAATTACAACAGCGACCGTTTTTATTCTCCACGGCCTCTGCTTTCAGAAAATATGCTTGAGGGTTCTAATATGCTGAGGGTTTTCTAGCAAAAAATTCTGATTTTAATATGTTTTTGAAAAATTGCCCTGGATGAAAAGCAGTAAGACCTTATTCTTTTGCCCGTATCAAACTCTGTCATGTTTCTGGAGTGACTAAGGGAATTAAAACAAACATTTGACCATTTGTTATGTAAAGAATCACTAATATAGAAATGATTATTCAGTTTAATAAATCAGCAACCTTTTGTGGAGCTTAGTAATTTTATTTGACCACCTTGGGCAAAACAACCAAAATGTTAGTCTCCTACAGTAATGGGATCTTGTCTGCATAGCTCTTAGTTTTTACAGCACTGAAATGAATCAAGTTGTAAACGTTACTATGTATGCAGTGGTACAGGTATTCAGGTAAACAAAGGGGATTACAGAATGAATGGCAGACACAGATATTAAATGAGTTCTATGGTCACGGCATATATCTTCATGTTCAAAATCACTATAATAGCAATACAAACAAAGGCTATTGTTGGCAAATACTTGAAAATCCACCTTTCATGTTGTGAGCTCTGCCTGTCTGCTAACCATCTCTTTCCACAAATTTCTGTATTCCAGCATGCTTTGCAGCTTCTCATCTGCTGCTTACTTTAAATTTCTAAGGACTACCTGTCCCATGGTACCTTGCTGCCTGCAAGCAGTGATTCCTGTACTGACTCCTCCTGAAACTTTTCCTCTCAGCACCTCTGTAGTTCAGAAGGCAGACTCTGTGAAATGTGTGACACAGCAGTGCCTACTCACAGGGCATAGTGACTACAGGTCACAGAATGCAAGGAAGTAAATGTGCAGGGATCTTCACAAATTACAAACATCAGGATTATTTAGATTTATTAGCAGTAGACTATAAATTGAAATACAATGTATTTGAATATAAATGTAAAATTTTGACCATAGATATGCTAAAGGTACTAAAGAGGGGACAACTGGTTATGTACATCTGACTCTAAAGCATCGTCAATAGCTTCTAAAGACTTGAACCTTCGCTTATTTTTCATCTGTAAAAAAAAAAGAAATGCAGTCTGTGTATGGGACTGATGTTGTTATAATGGGTGGTTAGCATTAGTGGATGCATTGTAATTATCAGCCACATGTCAATGCATTTTTTTGTTATCAGTATTCACCTTCGCCCTTCTTCGTTTGTAGGCATGTGGATATGTCAGATCTGTCGACCACGGAAGAAAGGCAGAAAGTTACTTCACAAGAAGGCAGCACAGATCCGAAGACGTTACACTAACCCCATTGGAAGGCCTAAAAATCGTTTAAAGAAGCAGAATGCATCGTAAGTGGCATTGCTGAGAATTTCATTATGCAGTACCACACTCTAGAGTACATTGTACTATGTAAACACTGACACCTGCTAGGAAATAACTTTGCCTTTTTCCTATCCATCCTTGCCCAATGGTGGTACGGATCACAGTAATGGGCAACAGTAAGTTGTTAAAGGCCGTGGAGTAAGGCACCAGCTACATATTTTGACAGATTTCATATAAGTGTAACTCATTTGTTTTCTTTTTCTAAACTTATAAAACTAATTTGCCCGTTTTCTGCTTTGTAGGTCTAAAGCTCCATTTGGTAAAGGTCGTGGTGGCCAAGGGAGAGGGAGGAAGCGCAAGTTATCAACGTGTACATCTTCATCAGAGGAGGATGGTAGGAACTCTGATCCTACACATGGCTGTGGTCCTACTGTTCCCTTCAACAAGAAGACAAAAGGTCTCATTGATGGCTTGACTAAGTTCTTCACTCCTTCTCCTGATGGACGCAAGGCACGAGCGGAAGCATTGGACTATTCCCTTCAGCGTTCACGTAAGAGAGGGCCACGCAAGTCTGGACAGATGGACTGGGGTAAGGGAACATTACTGGAAAAGCCAGGGCTTTGTAATTGGCCTTTGAAAACAGACTAATGGTTTATTTACAGGTTGAAGGAAATATTTAGAGAGGGAAACATAGAGGCTATTGTTGTTGAACTCCTTATGAACCTGCTAGTTTCTTGGCTTTCATGCCGATTCAGAATACTTTTAAAAGTCACTTATCATAGCAAGTATGGAGATCTGGACTTCTGAGTTTGACATTTTATGCATTCTTGTTCCAGGGCAGTGACTGATAAAGTATCGAAGCCAGGGATGCCAGGTAACTAGTATTTACAAAAGGTGGTCAGCATTGGCAAGCCTCTCTGTTCCCCTCAGTACAGGTTTCCTTTCAGTATCTACTATTGATTTTACAAACATACCGCAGGGATTTTTGGTTTTCTAACTGGGACATAAGTTTCTACAATTAACTGATCAGATTATATTGTGAAGCCCTTTTTTGTACTTTCCACCTTTAATGCATTTGTATTAATGACGAGCCAAGGTCTCATTGCCTTTACCCTACCCTTTAAGGTTAAATCTGTTTTAGACTGTTACACCCGTATTTATTAGGTAGCATGGCTGCAAGAAAACCCACCCCAAACCATCCCTCCTGAATGCATGCATGGAGTTCTTCTCCCTGTTGGCAGCTGTCGATTTTATATATGGTGTGGCTGTGTAGGGCTCTGTCCACACAGTCGTATCATTATTTCTCAGAGATCTGTAAATTAACTAGTTCCATCTGCTAACATGGCAGACGGACTTGTAGTTTTCAGTGGAACACAAGTGTGGTTATTACTGTATTGACTACTTGTAGTAGATCGACACATCCACCAGCTTTATAACTGAAAATCTGCTGGAGTCTGCATTACCCCCACAATCCACAGATCGTAGTCGCAATACGTTGTGGGCTTATTTGAAAAAAAAATTGCTAATAATACACATATTTTGCCTAAAGTGTGTGTGTGTTTGTGCAAAAGGTGGATTTAATCTTTAACTTCCTGTTCTTGCATCCTTCCTTCAGTGGTCCTTGTAATGATCTTGGTAGGAAAGTTAACTTGTTTTTATTTGCTGAAACCCTGAAGTCTGTGGGACCTGAGATCGCATTTTCTATTAAATCAAGTATATCACATAGTGAAGAAGATCTGTTAGGGAACCCCAACAAAATAAAAATCCTTATAACTTGGGAGTACTTTAGAAGTGGGTGCTAAATATTCTACGTAAACTTAGTGCAAGGTGTCTTATTTTTTAGACAAACGTTTATTTAATACTAAAGTGAATGACGCAATTATCACTTTTCTACTACAGACAATCGAGATGGTTGGGATTGCAAAACAGATACAGATGACCGACTAGGAATGGTTCCTGAAAAAGAAATTGAACTTTTTGAAGACATTCAGCAACAGGCACTGCAGGTAAGGACCATGTCTTTTGTACTGTCCGTACCCTATCATTAAAAGAGAAGTATGGGTTTCAGTAAAAATAAACCCATTATGCTCACCTAGGTGGATGCAGTATTGGTCCGATGTTGCATCTGTCCCCCACTGCTTCTAAGACTGAAAACTGAGCGATCAAACACCACTGATCGCTCAGTTTTCAGTCTTCGCTGAGCAGAGAGCTGGTGACTGTCAGTTACTAGCTGTCTGCTCTGCCCCTCCAGCTCTCACTGGACTTCTGGGCTGGGGAGGGGGTGGAAGCGGCTGGCTGAGCCTCTCCATGGCTGGCTGAGTGGCTGAGACAGCTGCCAGTCAGGAATCTGAATGAGATCCCGACTACATTTGGGATCAATCCAGAGCCTGGACTGACTGACATCAGCCAACAGCAGACTTTAGCCCACTGTAGGCCGAAAACAGAACAAAACGAACAGCACTCGTGATCCCCAGGAGAAGCCTAGCCAAATAGGTTTGGCTTAACTTCTTATTTTAAATTCTATCTAAAGCTAAACATTTTCTTTTGGATTTGATGTTAAGGGGTTATAACCATTAGGGAGACTTGCTATCATTACTTGTTCCGGTTTGCATGGTTACCTGAATAGAAATAAAATCCAGTTTTTTGAGTTGTCACCAAAACAGTAATAAGGGAGAAATCTAATCTGGCACCAGTTACAGTAACAACTAATAGAAAAAAGTCCCCTCCCTTTTGGAGAGATTTCTCTTATTACTTGTGTCTGCAAGACAGGAAGTAAAGGGAAGTCTACCCAAATGGGACATGGCAAAGAAAAAACTGTCTCAGGTGTTCTAACTATTCACTAATCTATGAAAAAAAAATGGCTTTCAGTCTACTTAGGATTAGGCTCACACTCTTGCGGGTGAGGAATCACAACTGTTCCTGCAACCAATACATGCTTCTCTTTAAAAACGTGCAGGGCTGCTATTCATTCTTAATGGCACCCCCACGAATTCAAAAACGCAGCGGGTGCCCGAACCACAGTGATTTCCCGGCTACTGCTTTTTCAAAATGCTGCAGGAACATTTTTTCCCTGTGTGAAACGCAGCCACAGCACTGCAATCAAATGAATGGGCTGCTGTGCCCGCACAAATGCTGCCTGAAAAGCCACAAGAGTGTGAACCTAGCCTAAATGTGGAGGATGCAACACCCCTTCCACTACTGTGGTGGGAAAGCACTGGTTATTTGACTTGGATTGCAAGTGCTTTTTTACCTTCCTTGAACGGTGCATGATGTGCATCTAGCATTTGAAAAGGTACTGGATCACACATCCTGTTAACACTAGTTTTCCCTGGAGGATGATGAATATACCATTCAAGTCATTAAATACCTGGTGAAATGTTCCAGTTTGATTATCCACAGAAGCTAAAAGCTAAATGAGCCAGTTGTGTACAAGCTACCTCATCCAAATAAACCTTGATTTGGTGAAAATGTTACTGCATAACCTGTAGAAAAAAAAGTCGAGTTTTTTTGTGGTGTTATCTGCATACATTTAAGTTGTACAAGAAATGCTGATACTGTAAAGATCTCAATCCTTTTTTATTACTGGTCTTATTAGGGATCTGATTCTGAAAGGTAGTGCTATAGTTAAAAAGTGCCACCTTGTAGCATCCCTACGGCACCAGGTTTGTAAAGCCATTGCATATCTATTGCCCATACACTCTTCGAGTGGAACTTCCCTCTCTCAATCAACATGGACTATTTTTAATCCTCGTGCTGCTAGCATTAGTAAATGGAAAGTATCATAATTACAGGTGTTAAACTTTTTTTTTACATTTCTTCGATTACTTCCTGGTTTCCATGCCTAGGCAAATGATGTCCTACATCTCAGCAGTCTTCAGGAGGGGGAGAGTTCACAGCTCAGCCAATGACTGAGATGGGGGCAGATGGGTTCCAGGAAGTAAATGCTACATGAATCATCTGCCCTTACTCAAGATGGCCACTGTCAAAAATGCCAGGGTGCAATTTTTCAAAATGATTTCTCAGCAGAATAAATCATGGAGACATGGATGGATAAGGGAGTTTGCTCTGAATATTAACAATTAAATATCATGTTAGGTTTGTATTGCTCAGATGCAGTGCAGTTCCACTTTAAGTCAGTAGGACTATCTATTGGACAGTTGATAACATTACAAGCTAATGTAAAGTGAACTTATATTGCACACATAAGGTTTTCTTTCCTTTCCTTTATGGTAATAAACGTCAACTTGCATGGAGCAGCAGGCACTAATTTGATAGTATAAAACACAGAAGTTTAGGGGACACTGTCAAGAACTTAAAGAAATCAAGTATTGTAAATATATACTTGCAGTGTTTTTCCTTTCCCTAAATTTATTCACTTGCAGTGTTCCTCTGAACTTGAGTTAGTTTCCTAGCATAGCTTCTTCCCTCCTTTATATGTCATAGCCCTCACCCCTTCTGGGAGCGCAGTTACTCTCTGTGATATAGTCAAAGACCATGGGCATGATACAGGAGATGGTCAGAGACGGCGGATATGATACAGGAGATGGTCACAGGATACAGGAGATGGACAGAGACGGCGGACAGGATACAGGAGATGGTCAGAGACGGCGGACAGGATACAGGAGATGGTCAGAGACGGCGGACAGGATACAGGGAAATGGTCAGAGACGGCGGACAGGATACAGGAAATGGTCAGAGATAGCGGAGAGATTACAGGAGATGGTCAGAGACGGAGAGGTTACAGGAGATGGTCAGAGACGGCGGACAGGATACAGGAGATGGTCGGAGACGGCAGACAGGATACAGGAAATGGTCAGAGACCTCGGACAGGATACAGGAGTTGTTGCAGACTGGGTTCATTTTACATGAGACCACTAGAAATCACTGCTTAATGGCGCAATAGGGTAGCACACAATAGTGTCTGCAATGACCCAGAGGGCTGCACAAAAAGTGCCAAATGGCCACAGGTTGGGTACCAGGGCTATAGAGTATATACATGAGTGACAGCTCTGAGGCTGCTTAATCACATCCAAAATGGTGGCACCCACCTGCAGTCTCAAGCCTTTTGGATGTTTTTACAGGCAAGTAAAAACTGTAGCTGCTAACTTTTAATAAACACACACTTACCTGTCCCAGAGTCCAGTGATGTACTCACCTGCACCGTCCCTTCTTTCCTTCTTTCCACGGCAACAGCATCTCAAGTGTGGGCACCAGGCTGTGACAGCTTGTGGCTTCACAGCCTGGTGCCCACTGCACATGCACGAGTCGTGCTGTGTATCCTGATTGGTCTTGTGAAAGTTCCCAGGAGACTGCGGGAGGAAGGAAGGGGCCGAACTTCCTGCTCTTTGCTGCGGCGAACTGTCAGAACCAGGTTCTCGCTCCCCTCTACCCCCCAAAAGGTGACCAATATGGTAGTGGAGGGGGGGGGGGGGGGAGGCATACAAGCGGAGCTTCCACTTTTGGATGGAACTCCACTTTAAAACATGTTAAATGCACATAAAATTTCAAGGGAAGGTTATTGTTAAAATGAATGGTCTCTTTAAAATAGTCTGCATTTCTGTGCTGTCTGCTGTGTGTTGAGAGACAGTGACTATAATACATCTTTCTTTATTGTTCACTCATTTAAAGAGAGAACAATATCTTCAAGCACAGCAGGATGTGGCTAATGCTTGTGACGATTCCATGTTCCTAATGTAAAAACACAACTTTGTACTTTAAAGGCCAACTCGGGGCAACTAAAAAATCATCCCTTGCAGTGGGGGCTGTGCCTTCACTGCCAAGGATTAAATGATTGTTTTGGCTCAGGGACAGGAGAAACAGTTTATCACATGAGCCTCTGCACCCTTGGCAGATGGCACATCTACATTTTCCAACAGTGTACTGTCCCTTGGTGTCATCCGTTCCAATGCAGGACTATGGAGCCTGGCTTGGTTTTGATGACATCAGGACACTAGACAGCTAGTGAGTGGGGGGAGAAGCTGTGGGGACTTGTCTACCTTTGGGGAGGAGTAGAGAATCGAGTAAGTAAATCATAACTCCCCCCTTCCCCGTAGATCAGAACGTGCAATTAACCTTGCAGTGCAGGCAGAGTCCTACTGCAAGGGTTAATGTTTTTGTTGGCTGGAGTTGGGCTTTAAAATTAAAGTTTTATTTATAGCCAAACCTTTCTGTGTTCTAGATACAGTTGGGAAGATTTAGGAGTCTCAACCTTTTTTTTTATTGCTGTTCTCTAGTCTTGACTCTGTAGGTTGCTGTCCATTGTCACCAGTACAGAAAGCAATGGGAAACTAAAGTTTTAGAGTTGTCATGTCAAGAGATGACAGTAAATCTTCTAATGGGAACACTTGTAATGAAAACGAAGAAGAAAATTTCCATCAGTTTATAGCCATTTCCTCTCACTTCTTGGTGAGATTTTTCATCACGTCTTGTCCCAAAAAGCCAAGAAGTGAGAGGAAATGGCTATAAATTGTTGGAAATGATCTTCTTAGTTTTCATTAAGTGTTCCCATTAGATTTACTGTCATCTTTTGACATGACGACAATGCTAAAATGTTAGTTTCCCATTGCTTTCTGTACTGGTGACAATAGACAGCAAGACACACACAAAAAAAAAAAAAAAAAAGTGAACCTACAGAGTCAAGACAAGAACAGCAATAAAAAAGGTTGAGACTTCTAAACCTTCCCAACTGTATCCAGAACACAGAAAGGTTTGGCTATACATAAACTTTAATTTCAAAGCCCAACGCCAGCCAACAAAAACATTATCCCTTGCAGTAGGACTCTGCCTGCACTGCAAGGTTATTTGCATGTTTTGATCTATGGGGGGGGGCACCCAGGAGATTTTGCACCAATTCAGGACCAAACAAGTATAGTGAAGAGTTAAAAACCCTTCAGTGAATTTTTTGCTTTTTCTGTCCTGTTGGTGAGATTTTTCATCATGTCTTGTCCCAAAAAGCCAACAGGACAGAAACAGCAAAATGTTCAATGAAGGCTTTTAACTCTTCATTATACTTGTTTGGTCCTGTATTGGTGCAAAATCTACTTGGGTGTCTTTTTGTTTTTTTTTTTTTTTTTTTTTTTTTTTCTTTACATTGGTAGATATCTTCCTTTTTAAAGTGTTGAGTATCCACACTGAGCAAGTGGGTGAGGCAGTACTATTACAGTGGTTTTGTTATTCTCACCGCACGCAGCACCTAGTAGTCGGCACTCTTAGCTGGAGCTGTGTAGCCTCTTTGGCCAGGAACATGGCTGAGAAAAGAAAAAAAAAAGCTTGTTCTATATCAAGATGTGAACATATTTCTCAATGGTGACATTTATAAACTTTTCCATTGTAATAGTAGTTGATCAAATGTTTTGACCCACAGGGCCACTTACAGTTTGTATTTCAGTCGATTCAGCAAGACTCAGCTGATGATCATTTTGTGGGACTGTGTGTGTCTTCCTTCACTTTGGAGCACAAAGTTTAAAATGTTTTTGGTCCTTTGTTTTCCATTGATAGATTTCTACCTTCCAGGCACTTTGCATATCTATAGCCATATTAACACCACCTGGCTTTCTGGTCATCTCTCTTCTGGTATCCAGTTGGTTAATTGGCGTGTTCTTCTGGCTGTTCACTGCTGTGATTATTCCCACAGGAGTGTTACGTGCTGCTGTCACCTAGGCACGGGTTGGAGGGGGAGGAAGCAGGGAGGAGTGAGCCCAGGGGAAGCAAGAGAAAAACAAGAGCCAGGATAGAAGGATTAAAAAGGGGAGGGGTGAGAAAAGCACCTCGGGTGCCCTCGACCCCCTGCTCAGACAGTAGGAAGCCATGTGTAAGCAGCTGTACTGGAGTCCTGGGACCACTTTGACCCTGGGCATTCAACTGGAGGAAGTTGTGGGGAGAAAAAAGCGGAGACGAGGCACACATTGCTCAGGTTCGTTTGCTTTTTCAGTAATGCTTGTATGCAAAACCTGCTGCTCATGTTTCATGATGTACAAATTGTATGTGGGATTTAGACAGCGAGAATAAATGAGTAAATGTAGTTACTGTGAACCATCTTGATACATATTGAAAATGGCTAGCTGCATTCAATATTGAGACTGCTTGTGGGTGTCTGATGTGACCATTCACTCTTTCCATTGCAGAAAGTGGGTGTCAGTGGTCCCCCTGACCCACAAGTCCGCTGCCCATCTGTCATAGAATTTGGAAAATACGAAATTCAGACGTGGTACTCCTCTCCATACCCACAGGAGTACACAAGGTAAGAATATTCTTTAGTTTCACTTGGCATGATAGAAATAACTATTTGGTAGTTTGACCCAGGCTTTTCTTTCAGCAGCTCATGTCTTTGTCTCTTGTGTAAAGTTGTAGTGATGTTCTATATCATTCTCAAGGAGCTTGTAATTGTTTGTTGTAGGACTAAAAGACCCATAATGCCAGTGACCAGATGAGTATGGTGGGGCTGGTAGTTAGCAGTATCTGAAGCACATAACTACATTTTTGTGTGCACAATTTCTGAAATTAAAGTGTAGCTATTGCCAATTGCATATTAACAAATTTCATCTTTCTGCAAAAATCTGCTTGCTCTATCGGCAACAGCTGCACTTTCCTCTAGTTTTCATTAGTCTGTTCCATGTAGTCTTACTTCTCACAGATCATATTTGCATTTGAATACAGAGGATGCCTTAGGTTAATTTGACACATTTTAGCGTATTTAGTAAACAATGTAAATGGTCAAAGTGTGGTAAACCTCAGAAATTCACTGTGAGTCGAAACCAGATCACTATGGATTCTGGTTGATGTGGATGCCTTTTGCTTTTTCCATTGAGTTTGCTCCTGTTGTCACATCTGACTCTTTTGTGAATCCTCTCTGCAATGCATATTGTTGTAGCTGCTGATTTGCAGTTGCACTGTGTGGAGTTCCATATGCTAGAGTGGTGAATGGAACTTACATTAGGAAACATCACAGTTGTCATGCTTCTCTCCAATACAGATTTTTTTTTTCTTGTTCCTATGAACACCGTTCTAATTGTTTTAATTTTACTTCATTTTACTTTAGACTTCCCAAGTTGTACCTTTGTGAATTCTGTCTCCGTTATATGAAAAGTCAAACCATGCTACAGCAGCACATGAAAAAATGCGGCTGGTTCCACCCGCCTGCCAATGAGATATACAGGAAGGACAACCTCTCAGTCTTTGAGGTGGGTAGATGTGAAGAATGTGGCAATGGAACTGTCCAACCACGCTGCTACACAAAGTGCCTTGGCAAAAATTTGACTGTTTTAAAAATTCATAAAATTTGTATGAAGGTATAGATAAAAAAGTAAAAAGGTCTGCTTTAGCCTTTCGCTGCTGGGACGTACGAACTTGACAACGGGGTTTTATACACAATCCAGTGGCTGCAGCCACCAGGAATGTGTATAAAACGGACAGGCAGACTCCTACCTGTCAGGTGGAAGCAGTCAGATGGCTCTGCTGCCGCTAATTGCTTCCACAGCCCCGGTCTCTGGTTGCAATATGGTTTGCATTGCAATACGTCTAATGGAGCACAGGGGAGACATGCAGGGTCTTTTAGACCCTGCATATCATAATAAAGAGAACCTGTTGCCAAAACATCATCACATAGGGGACTTTGTGTCCCCTATGTGTTGGACAAAAAAAGTTTTTTTTGTAAAAATAAATAGTTACACCCAGGCACATAACATCCACCCACCAAAAAATTGAGCCCCACCCCCACATATGCGCAAATTACATATCGCCTCGCACGCCGGAGTGAGAGCTGTAATTCTAGCACCAGACTTCCTCCATAACTCTAAATTGATGACCTGTAGGGGCTATTGAAGCGTCTGTAGAAAATAAAGGCTACTGAAGTTTGACTCCATTTCATAGTCGCACACAAATTAAAGGTTTAGCATGCTGGGTATCTATTGACTTGCCACAACCTTTTCTTTTATATTTTACTAAACATTTGGGTAATGTATTGCTTTTGTTTGCCCTAGAATTCACTTTAGTGTGATTTGTACTGAAATTGTGCATTTCCTAACCTTTGCAATAATATCATCTGACATAAAAAATTGGAGCTACCACTATTTTATTCTCTAGGGTGTCTGCTTTCAGAAAATACATAACGGTTTTGGGGTTTTGTGTAATCTTCAGGCCTAAAATTATTTTTTTAAACGTGTGCAAGAAAAAAAAATTATGCCAAATATGACTGGCAGCGAAGGGGTTAAGCCGGTGGCAACACATACTGTAAGCAGTAAATTGTGCTTGTTGGGCAATAATTACAGTACTGATAACTGGATTGACCAGTCCTTAGCAGCACACTTGCCAACTTCAGACATGTCAAACCAACAGTAGGAACGAGATGTCTCGCTAAAACTCATTTGCAATGCAGGTCTAAAGCACCACATTCAGGAGCACCAAGATTTCCAGAAAGTGGGCTAACCTTTTGCATTCTTTTCCTATTCTCTGCTGTTTAACCGCTTAAAAACCACACATGGGATCAAATATCACCAAAAGAAAGCTCAATTCGTGGGGAAAAAAGGACATAATTTCATTTGGGTGCAGCGTTGAACGACCGCACAATTGTCAGTTAAAGTAATGCAAACCGCTTCTTTAACCACTTCCTGGCCACCCTATAGCAGAAATACAGCTACGCAGCGGCACGGATGCGCAAAATCACATATATATATGTGTGATTCGCGCTCCCATGGTTTTCACGCCCCTCCCAGATGGCATCAGATTGCCCGTCAGTACACCAGTAATCACATTTTAACCCCTTGATTGCCAGGAATACGCTCATACACAATAAACCTCCATTGCTAGTATAGTGTGTGAACGGATCAATATCTTTGATCAGATCAGCACTATACCAGCGTTCACATTAGTATAGTGTCCCCCAAAACACAGCGTTCGTGGGATCAGCCCCGGCACCTGCGGTTTAATCCCTACGCTTACCCCCTCACCTTCTCCCCCAGCAAGTGCAGTGTCAGTAGGTCACTGTCACTTGATACATTGCACACAAAACAACAATGTTCTCAGGATCAGGCCTGATGTCTGTTAGCACTTGCGGGTAATTTTGATGACCCTCATATGCAACAGAGTGCCAGTACTAGTGTCGCTCTACCGTTTGGTGAACTGGCGAGCACCAGTGGTCTAGTACATCCTGGTCTTTCACATACCAGCACTGCAGTATCACTTGATGACGTGGCGAGTACCATATGTGCAGTAGAAGCCAGTGTGGTGGCGAGCACAAATAGTGTCCTGCAGTCACCAAGAATATGCACACAGGCCCGTAGAGCCTCTAGTATCCTTCTGGATGTACTTGCAAATCCTGATTGGCAGCCCACAAATTCTGCAGCACCTGTACTTCCCCCATTCCACTGCCCAACCCGGAATTCAGGTGGAAACAGTGAATTTAACTACAACCCCTTGATTTTTTTGGAGTTTTTTTTCACGGAAGATCTGTATACATTGATTGTGGATGAAAGCAATTTCTATGCACAACAATTTATCGCCGCCAACCCAAATTCTCAAACCTTGTCAGACCATTTGCATTGAAACCCATTACGGTTTCCAAATTTACATTTTTTTTTTTTTTTGGGCCTAACCCTCAACATGAGCATTACTGAAAAAAATTGAATTGAGGTTGTGTTGGTCCACAGACTCGATTCTTCATATGCCTGTGTTCTCTGCTGCCATGGCCAGGCATAGATATGAGAGTATAATGTGTTTTATGATGACAACACGCTCTGTCGTCCTCGGGGTGACCCTGAATTTGACTGGCTCCACAAAATTCAGCCACTCATAAATCGCCTTAACCAAAAATTTGCAGATGTCTATACTCCCCAGCAAAACAAAGGCTTCAGTGGTTAGAGTGTATGATGTGTGGCAAAAACTTCTAATGGTTGGCATAAAATGCCCCAACCCCCCAAAATGACCCCTTTTTTGGAAAGTAGACACCCCAAACTATTTGCTGAGAGGATTGTTGAGTCAATAGAAGAATATTTTTTTTTACCACAAGTTTTTGGAAAATGGCAAAAAAATAATTTTTTTTTTTTTTTTTTTTTTTTTTACACAGAATCATCAATTAAATAATTTATTGCTCACACATGCCATGGGTATATGTGGAATTACTCCCAAAAATAAATTCTGCTACTTCTCCTGTGTATGGGGGTACTACATGTGTGAGACTTTTCGGCAGTCTGGCCAAGTTCAGGACCCCAAAATCCAATAAGTACCTTCAGGCTTTTATAGGGCTTTATTTCCTCATTACACTTCCTGACTACCTATCACAGTTTCAGAGGCCCTGAAATGCCAGGATAGCACCAAACCCCCCAAAAATGACTCCTTTTTGGGAAAAGTAGACACCCCAAGGAATTTAAGAAGCATGGCGAGTATTTTGTAGATCTTGTTGTCACAAGTTTTTGGAAAATGAAGAAAGAAAACAAACATATTTTATATAAATATATATATATATATATATATATATATATTTTTTTTTTATTTTTTTTTTTCAAAATGCTGTGAGAAAAAATTAAATATTCAAAATACTATGCCTCTTTTTAAATTCCTTGGTATGTCTACTTTCCAAAAAGGAGTCATTGGGGGGGGGGGGGGGTGTTTGGTGCTGTCTTGGCATTTCAGGGCCCCCGAAACTGTGATGGGTAGTGAGGAAGTGAGATGAGGAAGTTGCGCACTTTCAGGCTTTTGAAGTGGTCATTGAATTTCAGGCTCCTGTATGTGGCTAGGCTCCCAAAAAGTATCATGCATGTGGTATCCACATATTTGGTAGAAGTAGCAGAATGTATTTTGGGGTGTAATTCCACATATACCCATGGCATGTGTGAGCAATATATTGTTTAAATGACAACATTGTGTAAAAAAAAAAAAAAAAAAAAAAAAAGTTTGTCATTTTCCAAAAACTTGTGGAAAAAAAATAAATCTTCCATGGACTCAATATGCCTCTCAGCAGATAGCTTAGGGTGTCTGCTTTCCAAAAAGGGGTCATTTGGGGGTGTTTGTACTGCCCTGGTATTTTAGCACCTCAAGAAATGTGATAGGCAGTCAGAAAGTAAATGCTATGTGAATTCCATTCTCTATACCATAGTTTGTAGACGCTATAACTTTCACACAAAGCAATCAATATACACTTATTGGGATTTTTTTAACCAAAAATATGTAGCAGAATAAATTCTGACCTAAATTTATGACAAAATTTTAGTTTTTTGGGATTTTTTTTAATGACCGAAATGAGAAAATATAGTTTTTTTAAATTGTTGGTCTTTTTTGTTTATAGTGCCAAAAATAGCGCACAGGTGATCAAATACCACCGAAAGTTCTATTTGTGGGGAAAAAAACCACGCAATTGTCAGTTAAACTAGTGTAGCGCTGTATAGCAAAATATGGCATAAATTGCAGTATCTGTAGCATAGTTTGTAGATGCAATAACTTTCACACAAACCAATCAATATACACTTATTGGGATTTTATTTGCCAAAACATGTAGCAGAATACATTTTTGCCTAAATTTATTGCTAACTAAGTTTACTATATATCGTTTTTCTTCAAAATTTTTGGTCTTTTTTTTGTTTATAGCGGGAAAAATAAAAACTGCACAGGTGATCAAATACCACCGAAAGAAAGCTCTATTTGTGTGAAAAAAGGATGTAAATTTAGTTTGGGTACAGCATTGCATGACCACGCAATTATCAGTTGAAATAGTGCAGCGCCGAGTAGCAAGAAGAAGCCTTGTCATTAAGGGGGGGGGGGGGGGGGGGTAAATCCTCAGGATGGCAAGTGGTTAAAGCAAATGGCAACTACTGTGATAGCGTAAAGCTGTTGTAAAGTAGATTTCATGTTAACAAGCTTGCTGTTCAGCTGGCAGCATATACATTAGTAAGATGCGGTATATGTGTAGTATGAGCTAGACTTGAACTAGCCTTTTAAACCTTTAGTGTTACTAAACCCAGGACTCTGCATTCACTATATCTGGTCTCCCACACTATACAGAGCATGGAAATGCAAATATTTTAGTAAATATAAACTGTTAAATACCTTTTCCCATCAACAGTTCAAACAGTCTTGTGACTTCTATTACTGCTCAGCAGAGCACTGGTTAAAGCTTTAAGGAGGAGTTTTCTTTCTGCTCTAGGAGAATGCAGAACCCTTGACTGCTGATTGGCCCTGTTCTGATTACAATGCACTATCCAAAGCAAAAAGAAACCCTCTCTAGCAATACACCCCAAACTGAGCATGTACAGAGTGTCTGTCTCCACACGATATGTTTTATTAGGAGATAAGGGGGGGGGGGGGAGAGCGAGCACTGGAAGAAGGGGAGGATCAGAGAAATCAGGATCAAACAGCCTTTTTACACAATGCAGAGGATTAACCCCTTTGGTTCCACAGTGAGTATAACAAGCATGCTTTACTGCATATGCAGACTGATTTTACTGTTGTGGGTTTAGTAACACTTTAACTATTTGCCTACTGGGCACTTATACTCCCTTCCTGCCCAGGCCAATTTTCCACTTTCAGCGCTGTCGCACTTGGAATGATAATTGCATGGTCATGCAACACTCTACCCATATGAAATTTTTATAATTTTTTTTCACACAAATAGAGCTTTCTTTTGGTTATATTATAAAATTTTGCAAACAGGTACTTTTTTTCCTTCACTGGTGTGCATTGATGAGGCAGGCAGCACTGATGGGCACGGATAGGCAGCACTGATGGGCACTGATGAGGTGGCACGGATAAGCTGCACTGATGGGCACTGATGAGGTGGCACCGATAAGCTGCACTGATGGGCACTGATGAGGTGGCATGGATAAGCAGCACTGCTGGGCACTGATAGGCGGCACTTCTGGGCACTGATAGGCAGGCAGCGCTGGTGGGTGGCACTGCTGGGCACTGATGATCAGTGCCGATCTCTTTTCTGATAATTGCCGGTTATCGGCAGCACTTTCTTCAGCGTGAGGAAAGTGCAGCCGATAACCAGCAACTGTATTTACCCAGTGATTTCTATCAATGGACACAGCTGATCACATGGTAAAAGGCCACTGAGATTGGCCATTTACCACATCACGTTATCAGCTGTGTCTGTAGGACACAGCGATCACAGAGATCGCCGTGTGTTTGCCGCTGGGGGCGTGCAGGAGAGCGCATTGTGGAGAGATGTCATATGATTCCCTTCCAGAACTGAACAACCGCACTGTAGCCATCATTCGGCTATAGCACGGTTGGCAAGTGGTTAACTTGTTGCCGACCGCAGATAGCCGAATGACGGCTGCACTGCGGCCGGCCAGTTCTGAGTGGACGTCATATGACGTCCCCCCAGAACACGCTCTCCTGCGCGCCCCAGGGGGGGCGCGCACCGTCGATCTCCGTGATCGCTGTGTCCTACGGACACAGCTGATCACGTGATGTGGTAAAAGGCCAATCACAGCGGCCTTTTACCACCTGATCAGCGGTGTCCAATGACACGCTGATCAGAGGGAAATGCAAGTGCCGGTTCTCGGCTGCACTTTCCTCACGCTGTCAGATCGTGAGGAAAGTACTGCCGAGAACCGGCAGTTGTCAGAGCGGGGATCGGCACCGATCATCAGTGCCCTGATGATCGGTGTCCAGCAGTGCCACCCGCAAGTTCCGCCCACCTGTGCCCAGCAGTGCGCCCACTAGCTCGCCCACCTGTGCCCAGCAGTGCACCCACCTGTGCCACTCTGCAATGTCACACACCTGTGTGCCCAGCAGTGCCACCCACCAGTGCCCACCCACCAGTGCCACCCACCAGTGCCACCCACCTGTGCCCACCAGTGCAGCCCAGCAGTGCCACCAGTCAGTGCCCAGCAGTTGTGCCAGTCAGTGCCGCCAGTCAGTGCCCAGCAGTGATGCCAGTCAGTGCCGTCTATCAGTACCCATCATCAGTGTCGCCTATCAGTGCCGCCTATCAGTGCTGCATATTAGTGCCGCCTATCAGTGACACCTCATTAGTGCTGTCTATCAGTGCCGCCTATCTGCCACCTCATTAGTACTGCCTATCAGTGCCCTTTAGTGCTGCCTATCAGTGCCCTTTAGTGCTGCCTATCAGTGCCCATCAGTGCCGCCTATCAGTGTCCATCAGTGCTGCCTCATCAACGCACATCAGTGAAGGAGAAAAATTACCTGTTTGAAAAATTTTATAATAGAAACAAAGAAACTTTTTTTTTTTTCTTCAAATTTTTGGCAATTTTTTATTTATAGCGCAAAAAGTAAAGCGCCCAGTGGCGATTAAATACCACCAAAAGAAAGCTCTATTTGTGAGAAAAAAATGATCAAAATTTCATATGGGTACAATGTTGCATGACCGCACAATTGTCAATCAAAGTGCGGCAGAGCTGAAAGCTGAAAATTGGCCTGGTAAGGAAGGGGGGTATAAGTGCCTGGTAGGCAAGTGGTTAAGTGAGTTTTTGTTTTGCTCATGCAGAGAAAAGCAATAGGTTCCCTTTTTAATGCAGATGTTCCCAGAAGCATTCTTACCTTTCTTCTACTGCTATGCTGCTCCTTTTCAGCCATGGGAAGCAAATGAAAAGCCCTGTATAAGCAGTCCCTGGATTTGTAGCCTTCACAGAGTAATAGGACTCCTCGTGTGACAGAGCTGATTGGCCCAATGCTGGCACATTGATTAGGATGCTCCTTCATACCCAGATATGCCAGGTATCTTCTTTGAGCCAGTAAAGGAAAAGCAGAGGTTTGCTTTAGAAGCTGAATGGTTGGTTGAATCGCCCACCATCATCATAAATATCTCTGAAACATTAACAGTAAGATATCTTTGCAGAATTTTTCGGCGTTTATCACTGCCCTCAAAAGAATAAAAATGCATCGCTCTCTTGCCCCTCAGTTGTCCAACTTTCTAACTTTTATGTTCTGGAGAATTCTTGGAGGTGTTCTACATACTGAGCCATTTCAGCAGTTTTCTCTAATATAATTAAAAGCTGATTTCACACTCTTGTTTAAAACCCTCTTTAGGTGGATGGAAAGGTCAGCACGATCTACTGCCAAAACCTCTGCCTTCTGGCCAAGCTCTTCCTTGACCACAAGACCTTGTATTATGATGTGGAACCCTTCCTCTTCTATGTGCTGACCCAGAATGATGGAAAAGGTTGTCATTTGGTTGGCTATTTCTCTAAGGTGAGTTTATGGCACTGGGAAGAACCTCTAATTCAAGTGCTCCCCAGAAAAAGGGTTACATAAAACTGCTTCTTTTCCAGCCTAATACAGATGGCCGGGCTGACTTGGAAGAGTTATGAACACTCATGACAATGTGTTGTGTCACAATGACCTTAAACTTTATCAGTATAGTCTATTGTGCAGTAAACCACACCTACCACTGTATTTCTGTGATTTAGTAGAGGTCTTTGCACGCTTCTCCTGTGACTTAATGGTTGACCTGATTGTAATACACACTTCCACATGTCCCACCTTTTAGATAATCAACATGAGCTTCTGTATCTTTATTACATCCTAAGAAAAACAAAGCTTTGTTAAAAATTGCTAAATGTATTGCTCTTACAGCATGACAAGCCAAAATGTATCTTAATCTTCCAGTGTATGACATGGGCATAATATTCATATGCCATCGGTTATAGGCGTGTACCTTCAAGTGACTGGACACTGACAAAGCTTTAGAAGACACACCCCTTGAACACCTCCCCTCTAATTCTACCCCACTTTGTGAGTCAGCAGTTTTAGTTTCAATGTCTGATCCTCCTGTAGGCGAAGGTGACAGAAATCTGTGTTCCTCCCTGGACTCAAAACTATTTTTTATTTTTTTTGTTTGCATTTCTGTGTCCCATCGTGGAGATTCTCTTTGCAGAGCAGAAGGTAAGAGCGGACCTGTCCAAGGCAAATATCCCCTTGAAGACAGTTGTCACCAGAATGTTTCCCCATAGGAAAAGTTCCTCCCGCTTCTATTTTTGACAAATCAAAACTGTACTTTCTGTACTGGAGACCATGATCACCAGGACTAGTAGAGAACGGGGACACAGACAGCAATTATTACCCAATAGAATTTCTAATCTTTCCACATTTTGCCCAAAAAGGTTTTGGCTTTGGGTACAATTTGAGAGGGATTTGGTAAGAAAAGTTTATGCTCTGCAATTTTTTTTTTTTTTTTCTAAATAACAAACACATCATACTTACCTGCTCTCTGCAGTGGTTTTGCATAGAGCAGCCCTGATCCTCCTCCTTCTCCGGTCCCCCGCTGGTGCTTCTGGCCCCTCCTTCTTGTTGGGTGTCCCCACAGCAAGCAGCTTGCTATGGGGGCACCTGCTGCCTCGTGTGTCCATTCACATATGGAGCTGCAGCTTGGCCCCACCCCCTCTCTTCTCATTGGCTCACTAGCTGTGATTGACCAATGAGGAGAGGGACTGCTGAGACTCCAGTGCACGTCGTTGGATCAAGAGGGGGCTTAGGTGAGTATTTGGGGGGGGCTGCTGCGCAGAGGTGTTTTTTTTTTTTTTTTTTTTACCTTCATGCATAGAACGAAAAAAAAAACCTTGACCCTTTACAACCACTTTAAACTACTATATATGTACCATATATTACATACTTATGTGGACCACATATTATAAGTCTTTGATGACTTGTGTTGTGGGTGACAGTGGCTCAGAGTATCGTATAAAAGTGTAGTTTTCAGCATCCAACCTGCAAAAGGTAACAATTTAGAGGCATATTTTAGTGTTTCACAACTGCTACCCTCCAGTAGTTTTCATCAGCATAGGTCATGCTAAAGCAGAACAGATCTAGGGAATCCAATTCAGTAACTTGGACAAGGTTAAGCAACAATTTTAAACAAGAGAAACTAATTAGTGAGGCTCCAGTAGATCATTGCAGCTGTGCTAGGGTCAAAACATGAACTCAGTGAAATGCTTGTTACTAAGCTGGTGCATAGTAACTGGCCTGACGATGTCACTTGGGTGTGTGTTTCCTCCTGCAGCAAACTCAAATTGAGATTACTCAGGGCTGTATTTCCTTGTAGAGCAGCAGCGTAAGGAAAGCATGAATATTCTGGTGGGAAGGGATAATACCCGGGTAAACGCATGTTTGGTTTAAAGGAGACAAAATGCAGTGTCTCAATACAGTTGTGGCAGTCTAAAGGGATATCCTCTCAGTCAGCATAAGAGAAGGGCTTTGTGTGGCTATCACCTAGGTAAGCTAAAGTGTCCTCCTTACTTTGGTCCTCACCATGAATGTGAATTCACTATTCTTGTGGAAAGCTTGGACTTTGGGTAGGAATGGACTATCTATTGATCTATTTGCACATATAACTGGATCATTTAAGGCACAAGTAACAATACTGGCAACTCGGTGATACCGAATGAAATGCAGCAAGAATGTGCAAGAGGATGCCAAAATTAAGAAGGTCTGTATGAATGGAAGTTATGGTTTAAATCATAGTAATAGTGAAATTCAATTTGAAACACATTTTAAAACGTTTTTCATGGTAACACGAAAAGTGAACCCTATACAAGATACTGTCCATAATTTTCAATCAAATTCTTCCTTTCATGGTCTAAAAACGTGAAGCAGAGAATTTGTCTCCTTTCAGTAATATTGACAGGTTTGTATTTTGCAGACAGTTGCAGCTATGCTTTTTAGTACCATATTTTGTATTGTGTGCAGTGGAAGTTTTCTATCACTTGAAGGACACAGGAGATCATATACTGTCTGTTACACTGCCACCTAACAGGAGGGTTGGACACTGAAAAACAAAAATAATTGTAAGCCAGACCAGGATTATTCCTCCTGCCTCCACTTTTTGCTAGTGTATATGTGAGGTGTCTCTTCAGCTTTGCTGAGAAAAGTAAGCTTTATTTCTAGCTTTCTTTTTTTATTTCAATCAAGATTCCTCCTACATCTCTGATAGAGCTGGTCTCTACTTGGCAGTTATCCTGATTGGCATATACTCTGAATTCAGAATCATGTACCTGGATACCACCATACTGGATATTGTGTGGCTAGCTTGAAATGTGACTTTAAGGCTCTGGTTTCTGCATGTTGTGCTTTCCAGACATTGCTTTGTGCGAGGCAAGGGGTTTTAACCCCACAAAATTGTCAGTGGGATGAATCCTTTCCTTTTTACAGATTGGTCTTGATTATCATCTGGTCATTGGCACCATCAAGGGTCAGATCTCTGCTCTTGCTATCATTTTCCAGAGACTGTTGCTTCTCATTCTTTGATCAAGATTTTAGTGTTGGAAGTTTGTCACGTAGCTCCCCCTGTTCACTTCCCTTTTGACTGAGAGAAGAAAAAAAATGCCTTATGAACCTATTGAAAATATTACCCTGTTCACATTTGCAGGTTTGCTTTTCTTGTTTCTATCACCTCTGTGAGGCGAGTTTCTGAGCTAGCAGACTTCTACTGTAAAGGATCCTTTCTGGGTTTGCACACAGTGGTGTTGAGGCCTAGAACTTTCTGCCTTAGGTAGTTTTGGCTTTTCACCTCAACCGGAATATTGTTGGTCTATTTCTTTGGTTTCAGTTCATCAGAAAGAGATCACCTTGCATTGCCTGTATGTAGTTTGGGCTGTGAGAGTTTCTTGTGGCCATTCCATCCTTCAGAAAAGACTGACTGACTTTGTGATTTGATTGTCCTTGTGAATGTGAGCTGCCATTTCTTAGTGGCTCAGACATTATGCAAGCTTATGGTTTCAAGAGTCCGGTTCAAGCCATTCCCCTTAAGACACACTCCATTAGATCTGCAAATACCTCTTGAGCATTTCGGCATCAGGCCATTGTTTCTTATGTTTGCAAGGCTGCCACCTGACCTTCTTGTTGACACCACCTACAAGTTTTACTACACACATGTTCTCCACATCGGACATAAGGTTCTGCAGGCAGCTCTTGCAGGCAGTCTCCTTTGCTGTTTGTTTTGTTTTTTGGTTTTTTTTTGGACTTGTTAGCATTTTGTTTGCTTTTGCCCACCCCTCAGTTGGACTACTTTTGGACAACTCAACCGTGTACAACTTCCTGTGTCCCTCAATGGACAAGAACATATAATTCTCTTGTACTCCCCTTGCAATCCTTTTCTTGGAGTCCATTGAGGGACACAGGTCCCAATCCCTTGTTTATGATTGTGTTCTTGGTATCGTTTTACGACAAAACTGAGGCATGCTGGGAGTAAGAGGGGTCATCCTGGAATGCATCATACTATTTTTGCCAGTGTCCAGTCCTGTAGGCAACAGTAGATTTCTGTGTCTCTCAATGGACTCTAAGAAAAGGATTTTACAGTGAGTGCAAAAAAGTAATTCTCTTCTGTAGAATGCAGGTTCCAGATGATGGCTAAACTGCAATGTGTCTCCTTCACTCATGCCTCCTTAGGTGCCCAAATGTGATCAGTACAGAGGCTGATGACACACACTTGTAATCCGCTATTCCTTGCTCTAACTGAATATAAATAGCAAGGATATTTTACTCCTCCCATCGCAGAAAAAACCATATACATGAACTTTTTTGTATGACCACTAGAGGGCAGGGTGTAAATTTGAGAAATTTTGATGTTAAAATAATCCCTGTGTAGCTGAACAATAAGCATTCAGTTATGTTGTATTAGAGGATTTACAGTGTAGTGGTCATGAGGAAAAATGAGATTTTTCATCCATAACTAATTTTGGTGGAGATACATTCTCATTGTAAGGCACATCACAGGTAAGTATTTGTGCTACTGCCTAAAAAAAGTTGTGTGTTGATTTCATCAATTGTCCATAGGTAGGAAATGTTATATATTAAATACACGCGCACACAAATTTTGTAAAGGATCAAACCGGATATTAGTTCTATGAGCTTGTCCATGGCACACATAAATTCCTTCTCCAGCACCAAAGCTCAAGTGAGTAGATCTCTATCCTGTTTCCGTAGTGTCCAGCTTGACAACTGAGAAAATGAGAGCTTAGACAAGTCTGATCTTTGTTTTCAATGTAATTTCTTTGCATTTGAAAACTTTGTTGAGTCTTCGTTGTGTAGCTACCAAGTGCAATTCTGCGGAATATATAATCACTGCTTTTAGCTTTCTTGTTTGAGAGAGCCAAGGAGATTAATATGATTTGCAACTTCTGTTCTGTCAACATCAAGCTCAAAATTGTTTATATTCAGTTCTAATCCCATGTTATGACTCTTGATTTTAATTTTTCTCAGCTGATACAGCATATCTTCTTTGCTGCTGGTGATGAGTGTTGTGTCATCTGCCTAGCACAGGTTGTTTATGTAATATATTTTATAATTTTTTTCTATATACAATGCACATCTTGTATCTTGTGTGCTGTAATACAGGTCCATTGGCACCTACTGTACATGTGCGTTGGGGTGCCATTCTCAATGAAAAGCACAGCGATGCGACAGTGTCCTATAATGGCTAGGTCTGAAAGGGGGCTTAAAGGGAACCATTACTGAGGTAAATATGTGAGCGGTCATTGCAGACCTGCTTCTGGAAATGGTAGTTGTCTGGCTGTTTCTGGTTTTGCCTCATAACACACATACATTAAGTAAAATCATAGGAAAGCCATTACTTTCTAAGTCCAGATGAGGAAGACAGCCAAGCAGTAGTTTAGTACAAGTTTCCTTTAAACCGCTCCCAAAAAACCCCTCAATGTAGCACTTATGAGATTTACATGGAAGTGTATTTAAGCAGTTGAGATCAGCAAGGCATATTAATTAGTTTTAATGTGATCTAGTCAGATCAGATGTTTTTGCATAAATTGTTATAGAGGAACTTTTTATCTGGTGTGCATTTTGTTTACAGTGCAGGGTCTGTAAAATTGTTTTTCTTTTATATTACTTATAGTATATTAAAAATGAAGTTATTTGGTTGTGTGAGATAAATAGTTGTCTGTGTATGTTGGTAATGTTTCTTATCTTCACGCTGTGTGAATTGAAGGCCCAGTCCTATGCTGTAACACTTTGCTGTGTCTCATTTGTCCTCAGGAGAAGCATTGCCAACAGAAGTACAACGTGTCCTGCATCATGATCCTTCCCCAATACCAGAGAAAAGGATACGGCCGCTTCCTCATAGACTTCAGTAAGGACAGGAGACAATGGGAGGGAGGGGGCAGTGTCTACTCCAGTGATACCAGTGACACTATCTGTCTTGTCCTGCTAAATTAAACTGACATAGATTCCAGAATGCCCCTTTCTTGGCACAGAAAGACGTGCCAAGTTTTTGCCCTGAGTGCTGGTGCCTTACTGGTATCTTTTTTATGTTTTAGGTTATCTTTTGTCTAAGCGTGAAGGTCAAGCTGGTTCTCCAGAAAAGCCACTCTCAGACCTTGGCCGTCTATCTTACATGGCCTATTGGAAGAGTGTGGTATTGGAGTGTCTACACCACAACCGGGACCATCAGCTGAGTATCAAGAAACTTACCAAACTGACGGGGATATGTCCCCAGGACATTGCAGCTACATTACATCAGTTGCACATGCTCGAGTTACGAGGAGAACGGTATGATTTCAGTAAATTCCTTGATTTCCTATCCAGTGCTTTCTTTTATTTTTAATAGTTTTATTATATGGTTTTTTTGTTGTCTCAATTTAGGATTGTGATGGTGCGCCGAGAAAAACAAATACAAGCCCACATGAGCCGCCTGCACGCTCGGCCGCGGCAGGTGGAAGTAGACCCAGAGGCCTTGAGGTGGACACCTGTCATAGTGACCAACTCTGTGGTATCTGATGATGAAGTGGAGTCTGAAGATGAGGAAGAGGAGGGAGAAGGGCAGCCCCTTAAAGAAAACAATGTAAGTCGCAATAGTAGGCTGCAGATGAGCAGGCGTACTAGGAGGTTCTTATTTGTGGTCCATGGAAAGCATGAGAGATGTGCTGCTGTTCTGAGCCGCTAGACAGCATGCCGCTTTAAATGCAGGATCTGCTTGTGTACAGTCCTGGTAAATCTTTTACAACTTTAGGTGATGCTTTACTAAAGTTTGTCAGCTTATAGGTGAAATTTTCCATGTGACTGCTTTATGAAGTACTGGAATGCTCACACTCTCATTACCACTAGAGGTTGTTGGGAGATGCCCATCTGTGACAATATCGACACTTTAGAGGGTGCCTTGAACCTTATTCTTACAAAGGAGGATGCATGATTTGTGTTTTGTATGGAAAGGTCACTGTTCAAGGCCTACCTACTCTTAGTTTACAGTTAAAGTGGAAATGAAGACATTTTGTTAATTTGGATAGAGTAAGGTAGGGTTAAAACCCCTGTTAGGATATTTTGGGGTATTTTTTTTTTCTGTGTTGGATAGATTTCTCTTTACTTACTGTCCCTCAGCCAAAAGAGGAAGTGAGAGGTAATATCAGCAAAGTGAGGCAATCCATAGTTGACACCAGGGCACCAGAACTAGCATCTCCATTGGAAGCTTTCCTCTCTTCCTGTTCTGATGACCATCAAAATTGTGGGATTTTCTTTTACTTTCACTCTCAGTGATAATGGTCACCAGAACAAATAGAGGCTGAATCTCCCTAACGGGGTCACAGACAACAATAAAAACTGGGGTTCTAATTCCTCTCCTCTGTCCAAAACCAGTGACCATACTTTGTGTACAGATGAAAGGTGTATTTTATCGGACAATAATACTGCTTTCATTCAAGTCAAATTGTCTTTGCATATTATGTGCTTGAATTTTAGGTTAATTGCTAGTGTTTTAATATCCTATATCAAACACTGGTGAAGCGCTTCCAGTATAACATAAATCAAATATCCTTTATCCTCATACCATAATCCTTTATGAGAAACAGTCGTCCCCCCCCCCCCCCCCCCAATAAACAGAAACATCCAATAGTGGAGACCGCTAGTTTATTTCCATAACAAAGTTAAAAATCCATTCACGTGTTAAAAAAAGTTCTTAAGAGGCATGTAACAGGCTATTGGCATACTCAACCCTCCAAAATGGCATCTAAGCGTTGGCCAGCGTGATGAGGTCACTGCCCATCTGACGCGTTGCGTCCCAATCTACTTTCTCAAAGGCTCAGTATTTAAATATTAAAGTGATTCTAAAAGCTTTATTTTTTTTTTATAGAAAAAAAAAAGTCTATACTTACCTGCTGTGTGCAGTGGTTTTGCACAAAGCAGCCCAGATTCTCCTCTTCTCGGGTCACCTGGAGGCTCTCTTGGCCCTTCCCTCCTGTCGGGTGTCCCCACAGCAATCAGCTTGCTATGGGGGCACCTGCTGCTCCACGTGTCCATTGACACATGGAGCTGTGGTTTGGCCCGCCCCCTCTTTTCATTGGCTCACTGGCTGTGATTGATAGCAGAGGAAGCCAATGGCTCCCGCTTCTGTATCAGCCAATGAGAAGAGAGTCCCGGGATAGCCGATACTCCATTGCACATCGCTAGATCGAGAGGGGGCTTAGGTGATTATTAAGGGGACTGGGTGGGATACAGCACTGAGGGGTTTTTTTTTTCTACCTTCAGCCTTTACAACGACATTAACTGTGGCACTTTTTCTAATAGCGTAAAAGAGAAGTATGGAAATGTATATTGTTTTTAAATCATACCTTCCTAGGTTGATGCAGCATAGATCTGATGCTGTATCTGTTCCCCACCTCTAAGGGTGAGAACTGAGCGATCAGACACCGCTAATAGCTCAGTTTGCCCTGCCGTTCTGAGCTTGTCCGTGTTCACTGTATGCTCTGCCACCTCACCTCCCCCAAGTGCTCAATTGAGCACTGGGCTGTGGAGGGGGTGGGAGCTGCTGGTTCAGGCTCGGCTCTCAGCGAATCGCTGAGAGGCTGAGGTAGGTGTCGGTCTAGGCTTCTGGGTGGATCCTGAGTATATGGTCACGGTCTTTCCCCAGCCTGGATCGGTTGAGTGACATCAACCAACAGTGGAGTTTAGTCCGCTGTTGGCTGAAAACAGGTCAAGGAGTGCAGAACGAATTTCACTCCTGTGATGCACAGAACTACAGCCAAACAAGCTTTGGCATACTTCTCCTTTAATCCTTTGTTCAGAACTGGTTGTTTCTGTATACAAACCATAGCTTTATATAGTATAAAGTCTATATGCCTTTTAATTTGTTAGCTCTTTAATCCTTGATAGTGAGAGAATCTTTCTTCATTTACAGACACCAGTGTTACGAAGCATGTCTCTAGATTTCAAAGAGAGAGACGCATGCCCTGTGTTGGAGAAGGAGAAAAGTCCACCTCCGCGGCCTCTCAGTCCACAGTCAACAGTACCTTGCTTTCCAAATCCACGGCATTTTCAGGATTTATTGCGGGAAAGCATACCCTCTAATAACCCACCTTCAGGAAAGAGAGGACGTCGAGGGAGACGAGGGCGCCGTGGACGGGCTCCCTGCTCCGCTTCCAGCAGAAGTGCCGATCTGCTGCGCTTACTGGCAAGGGAAGTCCCAGGACCTCCAAGGCGCAATGGTGAACGTGGCCGTTCTGGCTCTCGGAGAGGGAGACTGAAGAGACTGGCAGACTCTATCCTAAGAAGAGACTTCTTAGAGCATCAGGAAAGGCTCTCCCAGCGGTATGAGAGTGAACGCTCCCAGTTAAGAAGGTTTAGTGAGAGCAGTGAGGAGGAGGAGGAGGATGAAGAAGATGACGAAGAAAATCGCAGTCTGCGTTCCGAGTCCCCACCTATTCTCACCAAACCAACGCTCAAACGCAAGGTAAGGGGAAAACCCCCGCAGCTGCATCATGTAAAATGCTGTTACCTTTACAGCGGGGGAACCATGTAGCTAATTATGGGTTCAATAATAACCAGTTCACTAGGTTATTTCCCAGTCACCTGGCAGTCCTTGCTTACCTAGCAGTTAAGGGGAAATTAGAGACACTAACATTAGTATGGCAGATGGTGGCAGCCTTTTTCTCCCTAGATAGACCTGGGCACTGTTGGCTCTGCTGTAGCTGAAAAGCCACTAACTACTTTATTGATAGTGTACTGATGTTGAAAAGTAAAACTGAACTCCAGGGTAACATGAAATGTATATATGGAGCTGTTTTACTTGCCAAAGGATGTGTATTTGCCTATTCATGTCTGACATTTACATTGCTCTGTCAGACGGCACTGATCTTTCTGCCAGGGCAGGAGACCTGTTTTTTTTCTCAGCTGCAGTTAAACACTTACAGGTCTTGTTCATCCTCAAGCCCATGATTAGAGCATAAAAGGAGAAGCAGCAGGATGTCATCTTTGTCACTCTGCTGTCATCCTGTCAGCTTGCTCCTTGTTGGCATATAAGCACTGTAGCACAACTGACTGGTTCCTTGTGCTGCTTTTCCTTCCCCTAATCTGAACTCTGCTGGAATGTTGTAAGAAGCTAATATGTCAAATTGAGGACATTTTACTGCTCATTTTAAAAATACATTTATTAATGATGTATTCAAGCATATCTAAAATGAGGAACAAAATATGATGTTATTGCTGTTTACCTGTGGTTAGATGTGGTGGCTGCATTAGTTTTCTTTTTTCCCCACTTTATTTTAACTTACCAATAACTCACATCCTGTCCTAGGATGACAACTGTGCAGCATTTCCCCCCCCCCCCCAAGACAGGGAGTTTGTTAGGACTGCATAACCTCTCTTTTCTCCATAACAGGAGGCGGTGTTTTGTAGTCCAGAGATAGCACAGTAACCATGCCAATGGTTAACAGTCCAGAGGCAGAGAGTATAGAAAAATATTCACCCACAAGTTTTCTGGCTTGTTGAACAGCTACTTTTTTTTTTTTATTGCAGTTGTTCAACAGATATATTCAAATGCTTTCAATGGTATATTTGAAAGACCAAAAGAAAGCAAGTAAGAGAAACTTTTTTGTTTTAAGAGTTTACACACGCTTTAACCACTTCAATACGGGACACTTTGCCCAGGCCCATTTTCTGTTTTCTGCACTGTCACACTTGTGCTCAGTCATGCAACACTGTACCCAATGACTTTTTTTTTATCATTCTTTTTTTTTCACACAAATAAGCTTTCTTTTGGTGGTATTTAACTACCACTGGGTTTTTTTTTATTTTTTGCTAAATAAACAAAAAAAAAAGCCAAACATTTTTGAAAGAAAGTATTTTTCTTCGTTTCTGTTCTAAAATTGTGCAAACGATCTTTCTTCTTAAATTTTAGGCCAAAATGTAGTATGAAAATCTTATCAATTCTGATGTACTGACTGCCTGTCTCATTTCTTGAGAGCCAAAAATGCCAAGACAGTACAGATACCCCTTTTTGGAAAGTAGACCGTCCAATGTATTTCGGTAGAACCATGGCGAGTTTTACAATAAAAAAAATTTAAAATGTATCACATTTTTTGCAAAGTGAAGAAATGTTTTTCACAATTTTTTTTTTTGTACTGTCACCAGTGCAGTACAGCGTCATCGTATAACTGGTGTGGTGTCTTGTGTTGTTGTTTTTTTTCCCTTCTACTGTGACCAGGGCATTACAGTGTTACCATAGTAACACTGTACTACTCTGGGAAGGTGATCAGGATTTTTTTTTTTTTTTTTTTTTTAATAACGCATTATGATTGCTTATGACGGTGATAATCACTGTTGTAGGCAACCATTATTTATGAATGACATCCATTCATTGTTTGTACTATTGTGATTAGCTGTGATTAGCCACAGCTAATTGGATGGTACAAATGGGCTGTGATTTGGCCCTGTCTGTACCATGTAATCACTGTGACCAATCACCGAGATCAACACAATAGTGCGCAATGAATGACTATAAATGGAATCCTTTGTGTAGAATTGCCGTGTGACGTGCTGTGATTGGTCACAGCAATCACATGATACCACCTCTGCCCACTAAACTGAAAACTCAAAGAAATGAAAGCAAGCTTGTACTGAGAAACCTACAAAATCTGATACCTTCTTCTGAAATTTGTCAGCTGTCAAGTTGAACCGATCACCTCAGTACTTTAAGTCACTGACCTGGGACAAGTATGTAGACCAGGAGTTCTGAATCGCTCTCTAACCTTGTTCTGGGTCATCTACTCAGTAAACATTGAAGCCAACCATGCAGCTGGTGTTTTAGGGAAGAGTTCTTGGGGGGGTGATTGTCAATGGAAACAACTCATCTTCTTCTGTTGGATGAACTCTGGTTTCTGTGGCAGAGCAGCCCTTTTCATCCATCCTGTTTTTGTAAATTATTCCTAGTATGTACTGTTGTAATAGTATGGGCTATCCTGCATGAAGCCTGCAGGTGTCACTAGTGACTTTACTGACAGCTCCCTGTTTACATGGGGAGTTATGTAAGAGTGATTTAACAATTCTGGGCATTGTCTTCAGTTCTCAGCTCCGTGTACTCTTCTGCATGCTATTTACTTTGAAAAATTAACTTGCTATAATAGTCTCTTCTTCTTTAGTAATTCATACCCACTGAGTACCCAGAGCAGATTATTTATATTATAACTTGGACAGTAAAAATGTCATATCAACTTCTTAACCCATCCCCGCAAGGCTGTACACGTATACGTGGTAGCATGACAGTGGGTTCCCACTAGATATGTAGTCAGCTGACGTCCCTATCCTGTGCTGGGAGCATGCTCAATAGAAATAGGGTTGTGCATTTAATTTCCCACTGTACATAGAAACAACATAAAAAAATACAGTAACGTTATGTACACTAAATCCCATTCCCTTTAATCACTGATTAAATTTACCAATGATAATATTTTGTTTTATATTCAACCGATTAAAACTTGCAGCTCCTTTAACTGACTTTTTTTTTTTTTTTTTTTTGTTATCCTTGGGTACCCTTCCCAGCAGCTCTTTCAAGTGTTATACTTGCCTAGTCCCACTCGGAGGGAGAGATCTCAATGCATAGTCTCTTCTTGAAAATTTTCCAAGGTGGGCTCTCCACTTATTGCACATGCACCTTGCAATCTTCATATTTATTCTTCCAGAGGAGGATGTACATTTAAGATTTCTCTGCAGCAGTGACAGGCAACAATGATTGAAACCGTTGATGTCAGAGGTTGCCTGTCTCTGAATCGTGTACTTAAAGTACACTTGTCCTTTAAAAATGCTTCTTGATTTGTACTTTTTTGTTTTTCTTCTATTCTGCAAATTCCCTGCAAATAGCTTACAGAAATCCACACTCTAAAAGAAAAAAAAAATGTTTTTACTACACAAGTATCCATGATATTCCATATGGTGTTTTTTTTTTTTGTTTTTGACTGCTGTCTTCTGTTTTTCTAGAAGCCCGGGCCACATAGAAGACGGCGTGTGCGGCGGCGTAAGCACCATCACAACAGCAGTGTAGTAACCGAAACCATATCTGAGACTACCCAGGTGTTAGATGAACCATTTGATGATTCTGACTCTGAGCGTCCTATGCCAAGACTGGAGCCAGAAGAGGAGGGAAACGACCGAGGCGGCCCATTCCCTCCAGGCTACTTCCCCTACCTCACCCCGCACACTCTTCTGAGACGCAACCGCCCCTTGGGCAAAAGGAGATCAATCAGCGAGCAACTACAAGGTGAGACTATAGCACAGTTTATTTGTGACACCGTATGCATATTTTTTCCATTCTTGTTTTGTGTTGATCGGAGTTGGTTCAATCATGGAAGCTATGCAGCCAGTGTGTCCCATGTGTTTTTTAGAATTTTCTTTTTTTTTTTTTTTTTTTTTTTTTTTAGCCTTTTTAATTATTGCTAATAGAAATGTATTACCTGGTTTGAGTGTGCTTACTGCCTTCATGATTGCTCTGACTACATCTTGAATACTGCATTCCTTTGTTTAGCTTTGCAATAAAGTTACACATAATAGTGTTTTAATGTGTGTTTTGTCATTGCAGCGGCATCAATGCAGCCACCTGTGGCAAATCTACACCCTCCAGAGGATAAACCGGCCGTACCGGAGACCCCTGCTCCTCCACCTGTAAAGAAGAAAGGATGGCCTAAAGGGAAGAGCAGAAAACCTCTTCACTGGAAGAAACGACCTGGGCGTAAACCAGGTTTCAAGCTCAACCGGGATCCCCCTCCTGCTCCAGAGCCCACACATCATCCCCCTCCTGCCCGGCCTGGGCGCAAACCAAGGATACGTGATAGAGAGGAAGAGCCTCCAGCAGAGGATAAAGTCCCTGAGATAAAGGAACAAGAAGAGGAAGAGACACAAACAGTGGTAGAAAAGACTAATGATGAAGAGGAGCCCGAGACTGTCATCACTGCTGTGCAACCAGCATCCCCTTCTGAGAGCAGCAGCAGTAGTAGCAGTAGTAGTGATGGTTCCTCCCGGGAAGTAGAAAATCATTCAGAGTCTCCAGAACTGCAAAGAGAGCCTGTAGAAGAGCCACAACCTATTGCTGAAGAGCAAGAACCAGAAGAAGAGGAGGAAGAAAAAGTGCTGGAGGAAAAAGAAACAATAGCACCTGCATCAAATCACCAAGAAGATCATGATGCCGATGATGAAGATGAAGGGGCAAAGGAGGCCGATGAAGGGGAAGATACAGAACAGGGCCCTGTTCCTGAGGAGCCAGAACCACAGGAACCTTGCGTTGGAAGCAGCAGTGAAGAGGAGGAGAAAGCAGAAGGGGAGCAAGAGGCAACAGAGGTGCCTGATCAACCCTCCTGTCTAGAAGAGGAAGAGGAGAGTCCAGAAAAGGTAGACGAGGACCCCAAAGAGGAAGAAGAGGAGGATGATGCTGAGGAGGAAATCCCCCACACTGAGTTAGACTTAGAGACTGTGCAAGCAGTGCAATCATTAACGCGGGAAGAAGGCAGTGAACGTGATGATGGCACATATGGGGATTGTGAGGATGAGACCCTGACAGCTTGCCAGACTTTGCAGAGTTTTACACAAGCAGAGGAGGACCCACAGTTGGGCTTGTCAGATGAATGCCATCCCTCTGCCCATGGTAGTCCAATATCTTCAGTTCATTCTCACCCCAGTCAGTCGGTGCGCTCAGCAAGCAGTCCCAGTGTGCCTCCAGCACTGGAAAGTAATGGAACTGGGGCTTATCCGCAAATCAGCCCTGATGCAGGATCTCTCTCTGCTCCATCTATGCAGAACCTGGAAACAACCAGCCCAATGATGGACGTGCCCTCTGTGTCAGACCATTCACAACAGGTTGTGGATAGTGGGTTCAGTGATTTGGGCAGTATTGAAAGCACGACTGAAAACTATGAAAATCCCAGCAGTTATGACTCCAGCATGGGAGGCGGCAGCATATCCTCCCAAAGCAGCTGTTCGTATGCCAGTGGTGGAAATGCTAGTGGAGCTGGGGGGCTGCCTTCTTCTGCCAGCATGGCACAAAATGGGTGTGTTGTGAGCCAACAAATGGCTGGAATGGCAAGCATGCTGCAAACGACGCAGGCTTGTAGCATTAAGTCACCACAGAATTGTGCCTCAGAACGCCCTCCTAGCAGCAGCAGCAACAACCAGCCGCCACCCCCTCCTCCACCACCTCCGATGCCCCCTCAGCAGCCCCAACCTCCCCCACAGCAGCAGCCCCCAATGTCACAGTGCAGTATGAACAACAGCTTTGGCCCCTCACCAATGATCATGGAGATCCCAGACCAGAGTAATGGCAGCAATCTCAGCATCTACCCAGGGGATTTTGGGGCTGGTGGCTATTCTCAGCCCTCAGCCACTTTCAGCCTGGCAAAGTTGCAGCAGCTTACCAACACTATCATGGACACTCATCCTATGCCTTACAGCCATGCTCCGGCCGTCACCTCCTATGCAAACAGTGTGTCCCTTTCTAACCCAGGCCTTCCCCAGCTTACTTCTTCTCATCCACTAGCAGGGGCATCCCAAGCACAAGCCACCATGACCCCACCTCCTGCCATGAACCTACTCCAGTGCAACATGCCAACGGGCAACCTTGGCATTCCCCACAGCCAGCGTATTCAGAGTCAAATGCCTGTCAAGGGGCATATTTCAATCCGCTCCAAATCTGCACCACTGCCCGCTCCTCCATCCCCTCACCAGCAACAGTTGTACGGGCGCAGCACGCCAGGTATGCAGCCTGCAACTCGGGCACTTACCGTCCAGCGAAGCATGAACATGGGTGTCAACCTTATGCCCACCGGACCGTACAATGTCAACACCATGAACCCACTCAATGCCATGGGAGGGTACCGCATGTCCCAACCTATGGTCAACAGCTCCTATCATAGCAACGCAGCCTATATGAACCAGACAACACAGTACCCCATGCAGGTTGGCATGGGCATGATGGGTGCCCAAGCCTATACCCAGCAACCTATGCAGCCGAATCCCCATGGAAATATGATGTACACACCACCTCCTCACCACTCCTATATGAATTCCCCTGCAGTCCCCAAACAAACTCTCAACTCCCCCTATATGAGGAGATGAGGGGGGGCCCTAGTGCAACCTGTGCAAGTTGCTCACCCACCCCTCATGTTCTCTTGCAGACTATAAATACGGCCTTTTATACTGACAGGACTTGTGTCCCCTCTACCTTATATCCCTTTGCTGTAGATTTAATATTATGTTTTTTATTGTTATTTTATTTCCCTTGCAAAAAATATACTTTTGTGGGGTTTTCCTGTTATTTTCTCTTCTGTAGAAAGGTATTTTTCTCTTTTCTTTTTTTTTTTTTTTCATCTTCTCACTCTCTCTCTTCAGTTTATATAAAAGTGTCGGCGGATTTTTTTTTTTAAATTTTCCCATGCTTTTATTTTTTGTTTTTGTTTCTTTTTGATATACAGAATAAAAAAACACACAAAAATGGCAGATCAAACGGTTAACGGTAAAAGTCGCACGGTCATAGGAAAAAAAAGACAATTCTTGTTTTTAGAAATCAAGTTTAAAAGAAAAAAATATTAAGAAAGACAAAAAAAATTGTAACCCTGTAGCCTTATTCTGCCATAGGCCTCTACAAGAGCCATGGTGACTGTGTACTTTAACCGTGCATCCGCTGTTTATTTTGCTCATCGTTTTCGATCTCTAGAATGGGGTTGGAAGGGAGAACAATACTTTAGTGCTCATATTGGGAGCAGAAGAGCATTAAATTATCCCCAGTCACATGACGAAGAGAATTTTTGAAGATCAAGTGTTTCAGGTAGTGGTCTTGGAACATTTTTTTTTCTTTTAGTGGTTTTTGAAGGCTGTGGTAAAGCAGTTGTAAGTTTACATCTAGCTTTCCAGCAACAAGAACTACAAGGCTTAGTATGCCCTACAAGAATCTGTCAAGGAATGCTGGGATTTTGAGTTCTGCCACAGCAATGTTGCCTTCTTCTGGATATATAGCTTAAAGAATGACAACATTGTTGGAAGCACTCACCCTGCATTCACATTTAATTGTGGTTTGACGTCTTTTTATTATTCACATGGGACTCCTCCCTAAACTTAATGCTCCTCTGCTTTGTTCACGCGAGCTGACTTGACCTTTCTTTCATCCTAATAATAAGCACTTATTGCCACAGATGGAAGGGGGTACATAGGAACAGTTTGTATATGTCATCAGATTGATGGTTATATGACTGCCTCTACATAAAATTCTTCCACTGGAACCCTTGCTTGGAGTCTTTTGAGGGTGATGGTTCCACGATTAATGCCAGAGATCAATAGGTATAGTTCGCTGGGCAAAGAACAGACCCATGTCATTGTGTATAAACCCCCCTATGTGCAGGGGTGGGCATTTTATAACTGTCTTATATAGTCACTCATCAAGAGTGCAAACTGACTGCATCTATATTTTTAGTACGTTTTAAATGTGTTTTACTCTTAAGTATTTAGAGTCCCTATGTATATATGATATATCGTCACTTTCTTCCTGGCCAGTTTTGCTCTTCAGATGGGTTGGCTTGTGTCTTCATGACTCCTTTCCAGTTTAGCATTAAAGGGAAGTAATATTATGTAGTGTGCTGATGCCTTGCCATAGCAATAATGTGTGCCTGCCAGTCTGTGTGCCCTATGAGGTAGATGTAGATAATCACAATAGCTGGGCAGATCTTCACAAGAGCAGTGCCTCTCCATACACATTGTCTCAATGGCCCCTTGCTCCCATCATATGGAATTAAGCAAATGCCGTCTTTTCCTTCCTCTTTCTGTTATATAGCAGAGCAGCCACAAAGACAGGCAATGTCTGGCCCATATTTAGCGAAAAATGCATAGAAAGCTTTCAGTACTTTTGCAGTGTCTTGTTCTTTGCCTATGTGAAAACCATGTGATCTTTGTAAAATTTGCCTTCAGCTGTCCAAATAGGAGCTATGATAGCATGGTTGAGAGAGAAGTTGCCATCCACGGTTAATAAGATATGATTGGCTGCAATACCCTGATCTGTTCAGGGCTTGCATTTTCAAGAAGATCTCCATATGCCACAAGGGTCTTGCTGTACACAGAACAATTCATGGCGCTCGTAAAACAGATCCCCATCCTGTACAAATTGTTTTTTTCTCAAGTTACTTTTCAGAACATGGATTAGTCCTTGTGGTGTTCAGCTTTCACTAAAGCTAGCCACATAAAGTATTACATAATTTTGTAAGGGCCTGTGTCAACAGGTTTTGATGAGGAAAAATGAAGTGTTTTTTTATATCAGTATGATATACTTTTGAGATTATTCAGAATTCATTGCAGGTGCAGTTGACCTGTTTTAAGCTGCTTTTGTAATCCCATAGAGAAGCAATTCTGCAGAAAACAAAAGCCAATTGACACAGGCCCTAACAATAATTTGAACTGTTGGAAGGTTTGCAGTGGCAAACAGCAAATACACAATTGCTATCGTATACTTTCCATGTACAGGAGGGAAGGTGTGCAAATGCAATATGTCTACTTCTCTGTTGCCAAATAAACAGCATAAAGTTTAAAAAGCCCTGCTTGACTCTAAATTCTCCCTGTAATATCTGTTTTATGACTTGCAGTATTTTCTTTTCAAGTTCTGTTTTCTTTCTGGATTTTGTTAAAAGTATTCCAGCTTGTTGGAAGATATCTGATGTCATTACCAACTTTGGAAGGCTTCAGGCATCTTTTCTTGCTCTTTGTTTTCATATAGCTTACATAGATGTGTATGGCCAACATTAGGGAAGTCAGTTATTTTGCTTGCTGTTAATTCTTCTCATAGAACTGGTTTTTACTAACAAGTACAGTAGACATACATTGAATCCATGAAACTGTAGCCTTCACCCTTATATAGGTGACTAGTTCTATCAAAGAACGATTTATGAAGATTCCTCCTAGATGGAACAGTTGAATGTCAGCTGGATATGGATGCTTAAAGGTGTTCCCACCTCATGGATACCTTGTTGCAAGGAACCCCAAACGGAGCAGATAATCTCTTTTAAACATGAGTGCATTTTGATGAAATGCATCCAGTCAATGCACTCATGGTAAAAGAGATCCAAAGTCTGTCCTGCTTATCGCTCTATGGCAGTGCGTTGCCCTAGGTAGATATTAAGGTCTGCCTGTGACCACACAAGTGGCTTTAGGTGGGAAATGAGAAAACCTGTAGTTTCCCTGACCACCAGCTGTTTTCTGACACTTTGACTCCTTAAAGACAGGCAGTAAAGAGTTCCGAAGATGCTTATACAAACTGACATCTCCTTCCTTCCATACATTTCTAGGGTTTAAATAATGGTTTTATCCTCTCAGCTCATATTGTAATTGTATCTTTTTTAATTTTTTTATTTTATTTCCTCCGGCCTTTTCTTGACGCTGTGGGGTTCTACTTGCCCCCATCTGGTTTGTATGTAATAAGACTTTCACCCCATTTCCCAGACCCCTCTCCTCCTTTCTAGTAAGTGCTTTCAGAAAAAAAAAAACTGTACATTTTAACGTAAAAAAATAAATTATGTTGAGACATTTTGGAAATCTGTTGCAGTGTGTTTTCATTATTTATGAATGTTGTGATTACCCAATGTGATTACACATACTGCTGCTGGGAATATGTGGGGGTATGTAGGTGTTTTAGTTGGTAGAGGTTTAGGAGATGGACATTTTTTTAAATTTTCCCTGTTTTCCACTGTTATTGAAAGTCCAGCTCCAAGCTCTCACATATTTGTAGTGTCATGATTTAGTCCCTTTGATGTGAATAGGGAAATCTGATGTGCACATGGCACCGAGTGTGCTGGAGAGTAGAAGTGCTTAGTATGCAGCTTTAAAATTGGTAGATCTTGAAAGCTGAACTCCATGCACACAGCTAAATACAAAGCTGAAATAAATATATACAGGAGTGGTTTCCTCCCAAAGGATTTGTATTTATTTTCCTCTGGTCCTGAGATGTACACAGCTCTCACACAGCCCAGACCTGTCTGTTAGGCTGCATTCACACTTGAGCTCGAAGCTCCAAAAACTCTCAAACTTAAGTCAATTATTTTCTGTGATGCCTGTTCATACCTGATCATGTGAACAGGCACCATAGAGAACAATCAATTTTTTTAGGTTTGAGTGTTTTTAGAGCTTGGAACTTCAAACTACAAATTTCTCGTGTGATTGAAACCTTAGGGCAGGAGACCTGGTTTTTCTCTGCTACAGTTCAGTAACACAACGTATTCCACCCGCAGTATGTGGTTAGACCATGAAAGAGAATCCACGGACAGCTGAGCTCATTTCTGTCACTCAAAGGACAGCCAGTGGGCTCCTTTTGCTGCTTCTTGCTCTCCCAGTAAAGAGCTCTACTGTACAGAATTGCAAGAGGTCACCAAGTCATATTTAGGTATTTAAAAGCTAGGTTTATATTTTTCAAGAAAAAAATATTAAATGCTCATACAGTGGGGCAAAAAAGTATTTAGTCAGCCACTAATTATGCAAGTTCTCCCACTTAAAAATATGAGAGAGGCCTGTAATTGGCATCATAGGTATACCTCAACTATGAGAGACAAAATGAGAAAAAAATCCAGACAATCACATTGGCTGATTTGGAAAGAATTTATTTGCAAATTATGGTGGAAAATAAGTATTGGTCAATATCAAAAGTTCATCTCAATACTTTGTTATATATCCTTTGTTGGCAATGACAGAGGTCAAACGTTTCCTGTAAGTATTCACAAGGTTGGCACACACTGTTGCTGGTATGTTGGCCCATTCCTCCATGCAGATCTGCTCTAGAGCATGATGTTTTGGGGCTGTCGCTGGGCAACACGGACTTTCAACTCCCTCCAAAGGTTTTCTATGGGGTTGAGATCTGGAGACTGGTTAGGCCACTCTAGGACCTTGAAATGCTTCTTACGAAGCCACTCTTTCGTTGCCCGGGCGGTATGTTTGGGATCACTGTCATGTTGGAAGACCCAGCCACGTTTCATCTTCAATGTCGTTGCTGATGGAAGGAGGTTTGCACTCAAAATCTCACGATACATGGCCCCATTCATTCTGTCCTGTACATGGATCAGTCGTCCTGGTCCCTTTGCGGTGAAACA